TTGAACCTTATGGGAAACTTTACCTCCACTTGAGACCAACTCGAGTTGCAACCAGAGTCACAGAACAGATTAAGTTCGTATCCCGAGGTACCACTGTATTTTCACTACATCATTGTTCTTATTTCCAGAGAGATAGCTGTGTTGGTCTACTGCAGTACTTGGAGTTTATATCCATATTTTCAGCGCTTGAAAAATTATATCTATACTTCAATCCACTATAGAATAAAACTAAATAGTGCTGAGATTACTCATCTTGCATAAACAGGTATGATTTTTCAGCTAACAGTGGACTAGAGATCTGATTCATTCATAGATCTCATTGGGTGAGTAGAGCTTAGATGTCTCTCAGCTCAATCTAATTGAGTCAGTCAATCATTGTTTCTTAGCTCAGTTTAACCAAAGCCCATGTTGGCTGAGAATTTGGGGAACTGAAGTCACACATGTCTGGGTGTAAATCAGGTTGGGAAATGCTGAACTAGACAGAATGGCAAGGGTGGAAAAAGTTAAATCAATACACCAAGAAGCATTATTTGGGCAAATTATTTACCGCAATGACAATCTACTGAAATTAAGCATTTGGCGGTTAATACATAATATAAAAATAATGGATGGTATACAGTATATGAAAACCCAGTTTCCTGTAATGCCTACATTGACCCTTCTATGTATGTTCTAAATTGACCCATCTATGTATATCTGCTAATTTTATCTTGGAACAGCTCTATTGGGAAGTTCTCATCTAGGCAGGGACTAATTTAAAGTCTTCTGATTGAATGCAAACCACTGGCAAGGGGCTGGATATTCCCAGATCTCCAAATCAAGTGAGAACCTTCTAATCACTGCAGTAATGAACCACAGAAGCACATGACACCTCCAGACACCAGAGTTTGAAATACAAAAAGGTAACTTTTCAACTAAGGCATGTAATTCCAGGCATTCTGAGACAATAAGAAAAACCGCAGGAAACTGAGTAATTTCTCATTAAAATTTTATCTCAAAGCCTGAGGCTGCTTTTTATACAGCTCCAGTAATATAATAGCAATCACAGCATTTATCCTGTACACTCACATTCTTATCACACCATTATGACAGTGATGTAGTCAGATTCTCCTTATATCCACTGAAAACAGCAGGAATGACAATTAATCAACAAATCACCCAATCCAGCTTTCCCCATTCTAGCATCCTTCAGATACTTTGGACATGTGATGTCATTCAATTGCAGTTATCATGGCCAATTGTCAAGTCTAGTGGGAACTGTGGTCTGAATATGTAATGGGCCCCAGATTGGGGAAAGCATTGGCATAAACTGGTAATGTCAAAGATGACTTCCATGGTAAGAGTCGGATGGGATCCTTTTGTAGCAGTTCATTTACAATGCTGAAAATAATCTATGACAGATATTATCATTACCTTACTTCTACTGTTAGGCCAATTACACCTGGATTCAAAATAAATTATTATGCAAAGCAAAACAAACCCCAAGTAAAATAGATACCCAATGACAGAAGTCTCTACACCAGCAACAAAATGTTTGCTAAAAGAGTTGAAAATTGTAACAGATGTGCTAGCAGTTGCTAAATTAAAGTTGCACTTAAGTATTACCTCCCTATACTTCAGAATTATCCTGAAAGAATAGAAGATGGGAAATCACCTTCCTATCCATGTTGGTGAACCTCCTGAATGCATCTGGTTGGTCCCTGTGTTTGTTACACAGCATGCTGGACTTCGTGGGCTGTTAGCCCAATCCAGCAGAGTTCTTATATTTTTATAAACTGAATATTTCAATATACAAAACTGATGGATATTAGGGCTGTGCAAAGCATTTAAAAGGGTCTTCACAAGGAGCCTGGCTAGAAGCCCAGAAGACTCAGTGCAGCTGCTTTGAAAGCTTTCCCCAGCTGTCTCTGCACACATGTACACAAGCAACACCTCTGCTGGGACTTCCTGCTGAACAAAGTGGCTCTGCCTGTGAGATGAGCAGGGAAAGTCTCCAAAGCAGCAATACCAAGCAGCTATTTCACCATGCACCAGTGCCCTCTGCAGAGCTGCCCTTTGGAATGCTTTTGCTCAGCCCTACTACTCTATACACACAGGTAGTCCTCACTTAACTACCACAATAGGGACCAGAAAATTAGTCGTTAGGTGGGGCAATCTTTAAGTGAAGCATCACGTGATTTTACATTTTTTGCGGTGCTCGTTAAGCGATTCATCATGGTCATTAAGTGAATTGTGTGGTTGTTAAGCGAATCACGTGGTTCCCCATTGATTTTGCTTGCCAGGAGCCAGCTGGGAAGGTCGCAAATGGCAATCACGTGACTATGGGGATGCTGCAATAGTCATAACTGCAAGGACTGGTTGTAAGTAGTTTTTAGTGCCGTCATATCTTTGAACAGTCGCTAAATGGATGGTCGTTAAGCAAGGACTACCTGTAATATGAAACAAAACCTGTGGGGTGTTACTAAACAGTATTATAGTAATTAGATGAGGCTGGTCTGTTTTGGACATTTCTTCCTCTTTACCAATATCTGATTTGCTTTTTATTTAAAAATAACAAATACTGTTTTCACAAAGTGAAAATCAGTGAGACTCTGAGCAGAAGAGCCCACTTGTTCCATCAGCCAATAAATACTTGCTCTGTTTCAGAATTTGATCATACAAATCTAATTGAAAAAGCAAAAACTTTAGATCGAGTGTTTTGGGGTGGTGGATTAATTTTAAAGGGGTCAAAGCAGATTTCATAGGAAACCAAAGGCCAACAAAAACTATGCTTTTCCAAGAAGCCATTGCACAACAGCAATCGCCAATAGTTCTTTGTTCTTTTATATCCTGATTTTTTTCCTATAAATATCTTTCTTAAAACAGCCTTTAAAAACAAGGCTGAAGCAGGGAAAACTCAGTAGGTAGCTGAATGGTTAACCCTTCATCTCACCCACAAATTGTCCCCCTATAAGTGCCAACCTATACCTGTACTAACTGAAACATCATGTTTGCGTAAACAACTTGTGGTTGCAAACCCTGAAAGAGTGCAGCACTCATTGTATTATTTTTTTCATTTATTTCACAACATTTACAGCATGCCTATTCCTAGCAGACATTGAATGGGAAGCAAAGAACAAATCAAACTATTTTTTAAAAGGATACAAAATGAAAATAACAGCATTAAAAAAAGCCAGCAAAGCAGCATGGACACCCATAAAACTAAGGGCAAAATGCTTGCTGGAATATGATGGCTTTGGTCTGCTTAAGAAATGCTAGCAAGGTTGGGGTCATCTGTACTTCTGAGCGGATGGCATTCCACAAAATGGGGACTGACACTGAAAAGGCCCTTTGCTTAGTCCATGTCCCTAAACTTCACAAGGAAGGGAGACTTGCAAGAGGCCCTCTCTTGATGACCAGGCTGAACAGATAGACTTGATTCTAGCATGCTGCTGCCTAATATAACCCAGTGGCATGCAGTAGAGGGCTTTATAGGTAACCAGGCAACCCTGTGACCAATTGGGTCATCCTGAGAGAAAGGTAGTGCAGTCCGATGTGACCAGAATGAAGATTAAAGTTTACGCTGACCATATTTACGTTGAAAACTTGTCAAAGCAGTTGTCCCACTCAACTTATATCTAGTGTAATTAAGCTGGAGTTGCTCTGAGTTTCCCATGCTTCCTCCCTGAAATGTCTATTTTGCAATTGTCCTGTTTCCTCTTCTACTTTCCCAGGATCTGTTAGACATCCCATCACACTAGGCCATGGTTTCCACCCGCTGTTTAATCAGGGGCTGAAAGTCCAGGAGAACTCCAAGCTATGAACCAACTCCCTTGGGGGAAGTATAACCCTGTCAAGTGTAACTACCAGAGCAACGTTACGTAGTTGTTCAGATGTCTATTGATGACTAGCAACTTTGACTTGGTGGGATTTAATCCGACCTTGTTTTGCCCATCCACGTCCTCACCAACTCCAGGCACCAGTTCAGGACTTCTACAGCATCTTTGGCTCAGCTTGAGGTGGTAATGGAAAACTGGTGTCATCTCCATATTGATGACATCTCACCTGAATCACCAAATGACTTCCCCAGGCAGTTTCATGTATATCTTAATTAACATGGGGGAAACACTAACACTAAGATCTCAATACTAGAGTTCTCAAGGACTCAGTGATCCCCATGATTATGGACTGGAACTCCCCACTGAGGTAGGAATGCAACAACCACAGAATGGTGCCCCCAATTTGCAACCCTGAAAACAATCCAGAAGGATACCATGGTCAATGGTATTAAACATCATCAAGAGGTCTAATACTACTCCCAACTAGGTTCCAACAAATGTCATCAACCAGAGTGACCACAGCCATTTTTATCCTGTAACAGTCTAGAACAAACAAGTAATTTGCATTGCCTTATTTTCTAGTCTAACAAATATTTACAGACTTTGCTAAATATTTACAGATATGGTCAGAAAAGAAATAAAACAAAGGTGTTAGCTAACCACAGTGGGCAAGGTACAAAGCCGAGCTGCTTGCTCCAATATTGTATTTCCTCATTAGCATCAACAGTTAAAAGTTCTTGTAATGATTTTTTTTTTACCTTGCAGCGTCTTCCTCTAGCAGCAATTTCACAAATTGCCTGGGAATGTGTAAAGAGAGCACACTCTCTGCCATTTGCTCCAAAATCCTCAGATGGTTGCCATCAGTGGTAGGAAAACGATACATCCGACAAATGGCACCTCCAAACACTAAAATATTAAAACACTTAAGTAAGTACTTCATTGCAATTAGGCCATGCAAATTCCATTCCCCTAACACTGAAATTAATTTAACTAACTGTTCAGAGAGCTTAGAAATCCTATTAACCTTGAAATGCTAAAAACCTAGTTAGCACAACCAAACATAATAAAAGCACAGCTTATGAGTCACATTCCTACCAGCAAAAAGCAAAAATGGAAAGCTGATTTTTCATACAATATGCACAAAAATGGACACTGAAAAGAATGTTAAATATGACCACACAAAGGTATACTTAGACGGCAATGCATAATGCCAGTTTCCCAGCTAATGTAATGGGACCTTATCTGAGCAGCCAGCCTGAACACCAGAATTCAAGCTTCAAGTTCCCAGGATGGGATCTGTCTGTTTTTGCAAGTACAGTCACATGAGTGTACATCCCCGATAGGGCATCCATCAACTTCCCAATACTGATCGTGGTTATGAAAAATCATCACAATGCACAGATTATATTGTCAAGATAACATTATCAGTAATCATTTAAAGTTGCTTAAAGTAGACTCACGAACACTCATTGTTTGAAAAGAACAGTTCTATTCACCCTGTCAAGAGCGTACCTGTCTTGGGTACTAGAAGCCCTGTATGTTTCAACTTAAAGGAAGACGTAACAGCAAGTAAACAAGAAGGTAGAGCAAATATAAGCAAAACCTTCCATTTGCTAGAAACAGCTGTTACTATGTAAAGAGAACACAGACTAATGTGCATTTACAATATGTGAGCTGTGTTTTTAGTTACGTATGATTTAAGCCAGAAACATCAGTGAGGTTAAGCTTTAAACAGTTCTGCGTGCATATTCAGGGCTTCTGATGAGCTTCCTTCAGCTTACAACTTCTCGTGCCCCCTTTGCAGAGAGTATCTCATGGCCTTTTAAAGATCAGGGGACTTCTTAGATTCAAAATAGCACAAAGCTTGCAGCCAAACCAAAAAACAAACAAACAAACAAACAAACCCACAGATCTCTTATGCATGGACATATTATAGATAAATGTGTATTTTCATCTGGATTGCAATCTAGGCCAACTACTTCTGGTGAAGGCCAACTCTGCTGTTTTTTCCCCCTTTTTTAACCTAAGAGATTTCAATGAAATCCTGCAAAAAGTATTGTTTATACTGTAAATATACTATTACTTAGGAAAAGAGTCTGTACTGATTTTCATCATTTCTGTATGTAGCTGAACTGAATGACCATAATGCAGATGCAGACATGGCCAACTGCTTTTATATAATTAAGACTGTGGCGTAGCACACATTTAAAGATTTGAAAACTATAAAATATTGCAGCTTGGAGCTTTCCTTCTTCAGTATTCAATGTTCCATTAAGTCAGTTCCCATTCCATGACACTGATGGTGTTAATATTCACTGAGCTGGTTTGGATCTCTTCTCTTCACCAAGCAAAAGAGCAGAATTATTTCTCTGGTCAATTTGACTACATAACCACTGACATCACTTATGGAAGAATAGGCATGAGGATGGACTGGAAAAAGACAAATTAAGACGCAGAATACTTATCGTTCAAGAAGCTATTTACCAGATTTTAACAGTGCATCTTTTCGTAATGAAGCATATTTGGATCGGATTCCTAAAGACTCTGTCAAACTTTCGTCAACTGGTAGCACAGTCTGAAAAAAAGCAAACCAAAAAATACATGAGTTGCAAATACAGTATAATCAAGAATCTTCATGTTTAAGACTTCATGTTCAGAGCTTATGTTTAAGCCAGGATCCCAAGCCAGGGGGTGGGGGTGGGGATGGGCACATCTGGAATTTAAGAGCATGTTATAATTAATGTCACAAAATGGCTTGCATGGTCAACGTAGCACCGACTGAGGGAAAATTGACTGGTTCTTCCTTGCTACTTCCCCTCCCTTTTAGGATGTTGTCTACCACCTCAGCTTCCTTCTGTCTTTTTTCTGGACAAGTAGGCACACTTCCAAACAAAGCACTGGGCTATAGCCCCCTGTTATTTTTTATTCTCTATAAATACTCCTGCTATACAAAGAATGCAAAGGCGTTTCTCAAAATAAAGGTTATGGTTGAGGTTTGCAACTGCTCAAAGATTCTGAAAGTAGCAAAATAAAAAACAGGTCGAACATAGAGCCGGGATGTTACCTAGAAAAGTATTCACATTGGGGATTAAGTAGCTAAAGAATTGTGTTTTTTTCCCAAGGTTCCTTAACCATTTATTTATTTATTATTGAATTTATAACTAACTTTTCTATTTATTCCAACACTCAAAGTGACTTACAATATAAACACAAAATATAAAACTAATATAATAAAAATTGAAATTAAAATAATTGACCATTAAAAGTTTAGGGGAAAAATGTGTTTTTAGCATATTCATAAATATCAGGAGAATGAAAGTCTTTAGGGAGCACATTCCATAGCCTGGAAACCAAACAGAAGAAGGTCCTTTTCCATATACTAGGTAGACAAGCCACTGGTAGTGTATATACCCTCAAGAGGGCCTCTCCTGTTTATCTGAGGAGCCAGTCAAGATGTAGCAGGAAAGAAGGACGCACAGACAGTCAAGCCATAACCCTGATCAGTTGCCTATAAGCAACTGGTAGCCAGCACAGATCTTCTGCTACAGACATTATACTGTATATCAGTCAGTGGCATAGCTGCTGCATTTTTCGCCACCTACAAGTGCCATACACCTTTCAGGGCAGCCCCAAGTAAAGTATGCTGCAGTAGTCCAGCTGGGATAATGGTCACCAGGTCTGGCCATCTCAGAAATAATTGTAGCTGGCACACTAGCTATAATTTTGAGGATTCCTCACCACAACTGCCACCTGCTAATCCAGTGATAGCACAAGGTTAAGGGCCTGGTCTTCCTCAGGGAATGTATCCCCATGCAGAACAAGCTTCCCAGAGTCCAGTTTTGTTTTGTTTTCTTTATCTAAAGCACCTCCTTGTATGGATTTAATTTCAGCTTGTTCTCCTCATCCAGGGATTACCAAGGTTAGGCAAATTCAAGGTTATTGATTGCTTCTCTGGAGACTGAAAACTGGGAGAAGTAAAGCTAGGTGTTATCAGTATACCAATGACACAACACTCCAAAGCTTTGAATGACCTCCCCCAACAATTTCATGTAGATGTTTAAAAGCATAGGAGACAAGACTGAACCCTGTAGAACACTGGTTAGCAAACTAAGTGTTCAACAGTAATCCTCCGCTGCCGCCTTCCGACAGGAGGGATTCGAAACACTGAAAAATGGTGCCCTCAGTGCCAAAACCTGCATCATGGCCCAGAAGTATACCATGGTCACTAGTTTTGAAAGTTGTTGAGAAGTCCAAGAAGACTAGTGCCTTCACACTCCCCAACCTAGTTTCTGACACAGGTCATCTACAACACAATCAAAGTAATCTCAATACCATATCCCAGATGGAACACTAGTTGAAATTGTTTAGAAAGTCAGTTTAGTCCCACTGCTTTCTCAGTCAACTTTCCAAGAATGGAATAATTGAGACTAGCATATAATTCAAAATACCATCCAGGTAAAGGAGGGTTTTTCAGTAAAGGTCTTATACCTGACTCCTTTAAGTATGCAACTTCATATGATTAGGGAGGCACGAATCACCTTCCTTAACCACAAAGTCAGTCCCAACCTGACTGATAATCAAGGGACAAGTAAACAAGTTATGGACCTCATCGCTTCATACACCTTGTCCACATCCTCAAATCTAGAAGCTGAAAACAATCCATATTAACATGACAAGTGGCTAGCAAGATTCCAGTGAACTGCTCCAACACCAGATTCCAAATCTGTATCTGCAAATAACAATGAAAACTTCTCACAGAGAGCCTCCAACTGTCTCAACTCCCCTTCCTCAACATCTTGATGGAGAAGATGCCACACAATATAGAAAAGCATTTGCTGGCGTGTTCTAAAGGTAGAGAACGGAGGCAGAGAAATAAGTTCTCTTCATTACACCCAATGCTGCAGAGTAGGATTTCTGAAAGAAGCGCCTACTCTGTGTTCAGCCCAATTCATCATGACTGTTCCTTCATTTGTGCTTCAACCCTCTACTTATCCACTTCAAAATATCTGCTTCTGTTGGTTGGTAAGAGCAAATATATAGTGTAAAAAGCATTTTAAATTAACCATGGCATATAAAATTAGAGTTAAATGCCTGCCATTGCTGCTGCTCTTATTTCAGTAAGTGATCCTCTACTATAAAATTCTATGTAACAAGCACCATTATATGGTAGTTCTAAGTTTTTTCGTTTGTGATTATCTAAATTAAACTTCCATGTCAAATTATCATTCCATATTGTGGGTGGGTGTGTATGTGTGTGTGTGTCTGAGTCAGTGTTGACTTGAGGCTGCCTGGACTAGTTCCTGCAATTTTCTTGGCAAGATTTTGGAAGTGGTTTGCCATTGCCTGATTCCTAGGGCTGAGAGAGCCTGGCTGGCCCAAGGTCACCCAACTGGCTTCATGCCTAAGGTGGGACTAGAACTCATAGTCTCCTGGTTTCTAGCCTGGTGCCTTAACCACAAACCAAACTGGCACCTATATTAAATTATATTAAATTATAGGTAGTGTAATAGAAGATTATGGCAATGTACTTCTACAAATTTTGAAACTTTCAAATGTTTAATGTAGGCATAGGTACTTGATGCTTTTCAGCTGTTTAAGGATTACAACTCACATTGGAATATAACTTCCATAATATCTACCCAGCATTTTCATCACAAATATTTGGAAGGAGCAAGATTGTCCATATCTAACCAATGTAATAGTGCAACTTAATAGCTAGGGCAACTTCCTTAACCTGGTGTCCTCCAGATGCATTGAACCAAAGACCAAGTTGGCTGACCATACACTGAGAGCACCAGACTGGAGAAGTACATGATTTTGGTTAGATAAATCCAGATTCAAGCTACAGACTCAACCAGGAGAACTCAATGATGTCAATCTGGATTATTTTTTCTCTCACCTTAGACAACTCAACAGGGTTGCTGAGTGCATAAAACTGAGAAGATAAAATAGATAGACCATCATGAGCATCTTGGACAAAATCAGTAGTAATAATCACAATTAATGTACTGACCAGGACATGTTCTTTAAGTAATGCTTTAAAAATTCAGATAATCCTCATATGCTGAGCATGAGAGAGGTATAACTATTCAATCAATCAATCAATCAATCAATCTCAGTCAAAAAAAAAAAATTAGGCCACTAAAACCGAAGAAGTAATGTCTGAACCTGTGCAAAGTCCTAGATTTAAAACTAAGTTAATTCACACAACATGCTTTCTCTCCATATATAGCACCCTACCTCCTAGAGAAAGAGACCTTCAAGAACATATGCAACCAGGAAATCCAGAAACATGACAAACAGCAGATTCCTATAGACAGAGTTGCAAAGTGGCCTGGCTATGATTCCTCAGTTCCCAAGATATACTGCATTTGTCTGAGAGGAAGACAACAGGTTGCTGTTGTTTTTTAAATCACAAACAATTTACCTTTAACATGAAAATGCTATCTTCCTGAAAATATAGTAAGGAAAGCAGGCAAGCTTTTTTCATATTTCCTTTTTTTTAGGGAGATAGAGATGGTAGCCTTACATCCATGGATCTCTTCCTTTCAGGTAAACAACAGAATGTTTCATCCAACAAAGGGCTGAACTGCTTTAAGAAAAAAATGTGACTCTGAGGAACGGGGTGGGAAGAATAAGAAGTGTTACACAGATGGCAGAGAGAGAGCCAACTCACCCTTCCGTTAACAGTGTCAGGAGACCTGGTCACAGGAGGCCTTTGGTCTGTGTTTTCTTCCATCTGCCATCCAATGGCTGTGACGTTCCCAACACGGTCATTTTCCGCAGATCTGCAATGTACAAATTACTGTTGTGATGAATCAGCCAGTGTCCAAGACACACAACAGCGCCCCTCTCCTTAAGGGAGATACTACTGCACAAAATAGCAGAAGTGGTCCCACTCTGGGCCTCAAACTTCTATTGTTTGTAAAAATGGCATTTCTCCAACAGGCAATTTGATTTCTACCATCTACTAAAGCAGGTCTAATCCCAAATTTCAGATTCATAATTTTGCCACTGATAAAGCATGTTAAAAAATGTTGAATGCTGACCCATTTTATTCTTCGGTCCAATATTTGACCAGCCACATCATATCTTTCAGAAATAAAACAATATTTCTGAAAAAATACTCATGGTTTAAGCTTATCAAGAAAGATCAAGTGAAGTTCTGAGCAGTGGTTTGAAAGGGTTTAAGGCTTTCCTGCTCCTTTAAAGTCTGTGACAACAACACCCAGGAAATAGATGCAGTAATCATAAAAGTAATAGCAGTATCTCTAATAATAGTAATAATAATATAGCTATGATGTGTTTGCTCATCCAGATGATATGACATTTGTTTTCAGAGGAACTGAGTGTTTGAAATGAACTCTGATTCTACCTGCAATGTTCATTCTCTTAGTTACAGACTTTCACTGGAGAGTGACATTCACATTCTTACACAAATTGGTATCATGGTCTGGGGGATTTCAGCAACCTGTTCTTGTTTAGGATGCTTGTAGTGGAATCTTTTTGGCTTTGAGGAGCTGCAACAGGAAATCCCCCAAAGAACATTTCTCTCTGATGATTTTGAAGGAAAACTGAAAGGGAAGAAACTGAGGAAATAACTGAATATAAACCATCAACTAGAGAGGGTTAGAGAAGAGAACTACAGCAAAATAGCCTCATTCAGATTTTATCCAACTACTGGTTTATGGACAGAAAGTGACAGGCTAAGGCCTACAGCTGTGCTCCCAGCTAATGACACAAAGAGCAGACAGATCTAAGTTGAGAAACCTTAAGCCCTTACAAAATATGAAGTTGTATTGTCTAAAATGGGATACTGTCTAGTACAGGGTTTTGGATACCTTTGTCTTGTTTAAATAAGAGTCATATGTGCACACAAAAAATGGTTCCTGTGAGTGATGAAGGCTTTCACAGAATCAAACTATTGATAAGGGCCATTAAAACCATAAAGTCCAGCTCTTTATCATGGTGAACAACAAAACAGTGACAGAGTGTCTCTATTTCATCGTACATATTTTAGAACATACAGTGAAGGAACACAGAATGAACTGCATGCGCACAGGAGAAGAATTCTGACTGGGGAGTGAACAGAGCCACACTGTGGCAAAGGACCCTTTGCTCCGAGAATACCTGGCAGGCATTGAACTTCCAGCTCCTTCCAGCTAGAAAGAGCAGCTGGAGAAGAATTGCTCCAAGGTTCCTTAGTGGGATGTGGCAGGTAAGTGGCAGCCTCAGACAATGCACAGGAGATTCCAGGCCCATCTATCAAACTTAAATTATAATCTTTGTTTACAACCCACACATAGGTAGGTTACAATAAACAGTTCTAAATCTTTTACCATTTAGTGCATGTGTGCACACACATACACGCATGCACACACGCACACGCACACACACACACACAAAGCCTTTAGGATTATTTCCAAAATTCTCTGGCTAGATGTAATGTACAGTTTTTCTGATAACGTTATTAATATATTATTGCATTTTTATTTGTTCTAATTATCAAACCTGGTTACCTGTACTTATTTTTTGTTTGAGATGAACACCTAAAAGAAAAAAAGGCAATGGTTCTCTTTGAAATAATATTTTCTATTAATTAATCTTAATTATTTGCTAAACTGACTTAAAAGAAAGCCACTTCAAATATAATGGAGATAAAATGGGATTGCTAACACAGCAGTGGTAAGTTCCTTTAAATAAATGAACTTGAAAGATTAAAAATTCCAGCAGGTTTAAGACCAGTCTTTTCCCCTTTCTTTATTAAACATTTTAAAAAAGAATATAAACCATGAAAGATAAAAGACATATAAAAAGAATAAAAGAGTAAAATACAGTCAGTAAGATATGAGTAAAGAAACATGGGATCTAAAATATCACTGCGATTACAGTTTTTCCATTTTTCATTAGTTATGACGTTATAAAATATGTTATATTACTTCTTAAAGGAAAAAGTAAAAATGACTATTAAGCTTTAAACGAAAAATAACTGGTTAACCCAGTATAAAACACTAAGCAGGGCTATAGGCTATAATAAGTTAAATCAATCCTAGGAATCTAATTTCTTATAAAACTGAAATATATACACTAAACACAGAGGTACAAATCTGTGTATTCAGCTGTAGTCTGAAAATGGTTTCTAAATAGAACTGAACTTTACATCAGATTGACTTTTTAGGCATGAAGTTATTTTGGACATTGAAGCATACCCCCATAAATTGATTTCCCCCTCTGCCAAGGAAGGAATCTTTCCAATAAGAAGCATGTAAGATTCTTGCCACAGTTAACATATATACAGAGTTAATTTGGTATACTTTGAAGGACTATATGGTTTAATTTAATAATATTGAAGGTTACAAAGGAAGTCAAGGTTTAAGACTAGGTTTAAGGTTCATGTTGGCACAAGCACCACAAAACCACAACATAAAAAGCTAAATCTGAAAACTTAACAAAAATGTACTAAAATATAAACCATTCTTAACTTACAACTTATTATCCAGGATGCAATGTTTGAGAAATGTGTTTCAACTGGTCCTTCATTATGAAATATTCAGGCCTAACTGTAATGAACCCTCCCAGGGATGCCCACCTAGATCTGGTGGGAGGGCTCAACAACTTCCATAATCCTGAGAGGGATGATGGCTGGAGCAGGAGTTCCTATTAGGGCTACCCTTGCTGGTAAAGTCAAAGGGGGATGATGAAGCAAAGGGTAAACCATAAGAGGGATCATGGCAGGTAGAGCGCTGAAGGCTTGAGGATGGCCAACCCACCTAGAGAAGGGATTGCAAAATTAAACCCAGAAGGCAGCTTTGGCAAATCTCTTGTATATTGTTGTTGAAAAAATGTCTGGAAATGGCTGAACCTTGGGATGAATCTGGCTGCCAGAGGATGAGGTCAGACCGAAGTTGGTGAGCACAAGACAAGGAAGTCTGATCACTGACCGGGGTGTTACTGAAGGGGGAATTCCTCCTTTGCAAGGACATACACAGTGGAACATGAAATATGCAAAGTATGAAACAAGACAAGCTCGAAATTTTCAATATGGAAATAAAACGTTCTAAAGGGGAGGTTTTAGGAATAAATAGACCAAATGGCCTCTTTAAAACAGATGATTACATGAGAAAATATTTAGGGCTTAAGACCACTCCAAAGGAACAGAGTATCATCATACTCAAAAAGGAAATGACAATGTGTCAGCTATAAACCAATAAGCAACAGGATCATATCTATTAGAATGAGGGTATATATAATGAATGTCTATATACTACAGACATAATGGTGGAAGACAAGTATTGTATGGCAAACTGAAGAAGTAATAAATGTAAAATGTAAAACATAAGATTAATAATGGGTGATTGGAATCCAAAAGTCGGAAAAATGGAGAAACCTGGAATTACAGGGAGATTTGGATTTGGTAAACACAATGATGCAGAAAATAGAGTAATAGTTTTTTGTGAAGAGAATACCTTGTTCTTTGCCACTGCAACATAAACACAGAATATATACATGGACATCACACGCACTGAAGCAGCTACATACAGAGAAACCTCCATTTAACAGAGTCCCATTTAGCAGACTTTGAATGCACTGGACCAAATTTCCATCCAAACATCCCTCCCAAAATAATGCACAAGTTCAGTGCGTCCAAAGTAGTCCAGATGGGGCAGTTAAATTCACCTCCATTTAATGACACCCACAGTCCCTTAACATAATTAGTGCAAAGTTGTCATTATGCAAATAACTGATATCATTTGCACCAATTTATGTCATTTTTGCAATGATATGATTCCACAAATTACATAAGTTGAGAAGAATGACATTTTTGTGATGCTGTTAGGCAAATGACATAAATTGGTGCAAAGGCATACTTTTGCATTTAGCAGACATTCTGGAATAACAGACACTCCCTGCAAATGGTCCATTAAAATGAGGCTTCGCTGTAGAAGGAAACAGAAAATGGAGAAGTGCAATCAGGTCAGCCAGAACTTTTCTACGCGCAGACTGTGGCACAAAATATGAGTGCTGTGCCAGCAGGTTTTGACTTAACGTATAGTCAAAATACGAGCTCTACATAAGGAACAGATTCAATTAACTTGTAAATGACAACCTGAGGAGCTATGGGACAGCTGAGACACTGAAAATTAAAGATTCACAAAAGCTGAAGGAGGAAAAGCTTCAAATCGCTTTTTGAATTTGCTATCAAGAAAGCCAGGAAAAGACATAGTATGACAGCCTAAAACAAGATGGATGTGCCGTGATTAAACACAGGCTTTCAAGTTAAGCAAGAAAGGACAAGGAAAGACTATAAACAAATGGAGGTTTATTACATGAAAAATGTGAGATCTTTTTAAGATGATCAGAGAACTCAATGGGTTAGTAGAAATATGCAAGAGTAATAATGAATAAAAATCTGACATAGGCAAATAAGGCTAAAGCCAAATGGAAAAATATGAAAAGCTTCTGCAAATGGGATTACTGAATGACTCAAATAGTTGTAGAGACTTTGTCTGAGCAGGCATTGGGAGGTGATCTGGATTTGGATGGTTTGATTGCTCGGATTTTTGATACTGTTTGCTTTTTTGGTTTTTTTATAGTGAAGTTGCCTGAAAAGGGGATTTCTCTTATCAGTACAATTAACAAGAGTCATTAAGCAGAGCCTGACCCCTGACAACCATTTGGGAAACTGCTTGACCCATTCTTTGAGACAATCAGCAGCTCTTCCACAGACATTCCAAAAAGCTTCTTAATCCCATCCATCCACCTGAACAACTCTCTTCCCTTTCTATTTTCCTCAGCCTTCTCTGCATAAATTAATCATGCAGCCCTGAGATCCTGGAGGAAAGGCAGGATATAACGTTGACTGGCAGCAGCAGACTGCTGATTTGACCTATTTCACAACATTTATTTGTTGGCTGGTTTGCATTTATACCCTGCTGCAATCCAGCAGAAATTTTACAGGTGTCCCCAAACCATTAAAACGCCCATGGTCCCATTTGAAAATAATAAAAATCTCAAGAACAGCGAGAAAGCCAAAAGTCAAGCCCTCAGCACTCTTCAGAAGAGCTTCCTTTTCAGCTATTTCCAGAAGACAACTCAAGCCAAAGCTAACCTAAGCTGTAGTGAGAAGCCATTCCAGAGGGCTAGCGCTGCTACAGAGAAGCAACAGCCTTAAAGAGGCACCCTTTGGTTTTGATCTGGGTTTTAAAAAATGAGCTAAACTGAACCACCATGCAGTTTAAAAGCCTGGCTTTCTTGCAACTAGATTCTTTTCTTATGAAACAACGCTAAATACAAACCTTAGTGTTAAGTGCAGCCTATGACTTTTCTCCTTAAGTAGATCCTGTACAGTGAACATCACAGAACCCAATAAATACATCTGGAGAAAAAAACACATACACACATATTTTAGTAATAAATTATTACCATTTTTTATTTCAGTTTTGAAAGGCCATTTCTCTGGCTTCAATGTTTCATGTAAAACCAAGTCAATCATTTGATCAATGAATCCCTTTCGTTCTCTCTCAGCTCTCCCTCAATTCACACATCATGCCAAATCACAGGACCTGGTAATCATAATTTAGAATCTAAATGATGATTTGAGGGCCCAAGCATATAACATACACCAAACAATACTTAATAAGCTTTCATTTTCCATTTTTACAGTTCATACATGTCTCCATATTTCAGCTACCTCTGTAGCTATAGGTTTTGATTATGATTTGATATGATTACAACAAATCATATCAAATCACGTTTAAGATGACTTGGTTTTGACCCCCTCTGTATTAAGAATACACACATGAATGCTAAACAACTCTATGCATGTATATCTAGTACATTTTTTCTTTTCTTTATGGGGACAATTTATGAAAATGAAAAAAGGAAGGAACCACTAAATATCCATTATAATTATTTTTCAGAAGTCAGATCCAAAGATTCACTTCCTTCCTGTCATAGGAAGGAAATCTTTGGCTCCACCTTAAAAAAAAAAACACCTATACACTGCATTTAATTATACAGCATACAACCCTTCTTTTTTACTCAAAGATGATGATAGGCAGAGGGATTTAATATTCATTAGCAAGGCAAGGTTGGAGATTTCCTTTCCCACCTGCAACCCCAAAGAAAATGCCATCCAAGCATTAAAAATAAGAATGAGACTCCCCAACAATGCAGCTGGGATGATTTTCAGGGGGCAGGTCAGATGTCTTGTTCTTGATCAGATCTCCCCTATATGTATTTCTGAACAAAGGAATGTAATATGTTTAATATAATCTTCAGAAACAGATTTAGACTTCTGTACTTATAGTACTAGCTAACTATAATAATGCCAGCCTTTAAAGAAACTAGATAGGGCCTTCAGGATCAAAAGCATGCAAGCTTTTGTTCAGATGTGTAGCAACAAGACATTGGTACACTTACAGTTCCCTGAGATCTATCTTTTACATCATATATAGAAAGTTTTATTTGCGTCATCTGATTAATAAGAGAGTCTTGAAAAAAGGCAATGCTGCTTAGAAAGATGGGATTGTTTGTGCCCTGTAATGGAAAATAAAAACAATAAAATTAGTAGAGGTAAATTGGTACCAACTGAATTTAATCAGGTTGTTGACACAGCAAACACAATACAACCTACCTCAATAATTTCTGTCTGAGCATGCTTTGTCCAGAATGCCTGAGGAGGTGTAGTTACACTCACTGCTACAAAACAATTTGGCTTCCTATCTAATGATGGAGTAAGCAGTTCACTGCAAGCTGTGGAAAATCAACAGCATTATGTGTACATACAAAGGCACTGAATTTCACAAATATAATACAAGGAATGAAAATGAAATAATATGGATTGTTTCATTTGTTGAACACAAAATAACGTTTGAACCAATCATCATTGCTGTTATTCTTATCATCAGCAAACATGTTACACTACACAACACTAGGCTTCAAGATGAAATTAAGAACAGGTGAAAAGAAGAGAGAGAAGAATAAAAGGTACTGAGTCTGGAAAAAATAATGTGAAAAGTGCTATTACAATTAAGGTTTATTTACAAATTGGAGTTGGATAATTTTTCAAGGATGAATTAGAAAAAGAGAATTAATGCAAAATGTATGTTCAGGTGCAGCATTCCACACAAAAGGGGTAGAAAGGAAGACTGAACAAAAGTGGTGGTTTTGCAGAAACAGAGATTACTAGCATAATGAACTACTCAGTTTGAGTTAATTTTCATACATTTCTGACATATAGTTTACACTGTTCTTGCTATGTTATTTAATGTTTTAATTTGACAGGCTTTTTTTCCCAGAAAGGTGGCATATTAAAATATCTATCAAAAATATCAAAAAAATTAAAATATCAAAATTAACCCAAAATGATAAATCGCAAAGTACTGAGGAAGGCAGTTCTAAATGTCATAGAAACCATGTAAAACTATATGGTCTACTATACAAAACCATTAAATCTCTACATAAAATAATCCTCATATCAGCAGCAAATATAAAAGCAATATTTTAAAATGAATGAGGAAAAGCATACTACAAAATTACTTACCTAAACTAAATTCTAAGATTGGTTCATCTGGATCTTGGATGTTTCCTGTAAAGCACAAATGTTAGCAAAATTGTATACTGCTCTTGGGCAACCAACTTCTTATTTGCCCTTATGCTTTTTCAGAAAGACTCAAGAGACCCAACAGAAGTAAAACAAATAAAATAAATTGATCATGGTTCATGATTTATGGAATTAGCTTCCCAAGTCACTTTCAGTTTTATCTTAAATATTATCTCTTCAGATATGTTCAAACTACTTCTAAAATGGAGGAGGAAGAGGAGAAAAAAACACCTAACAGTTTTGAAAGGAAGAAAAATAATTTAAAAATAAGTAATTATTTTTAATTCCATTCCATTTAGGATGGAAATGATTATTTTTAAAAGCTGGAAGTTGTAATGTGAAATATTCATTAAAACTTCTTTAGGCAACACTAAATCAAGAACTTTGAGAGAAGGTATACTAATCTATAACTATATAATCTCTCTTTTATGCTTCTTAATTTTTCTTTACAATTTGTTTATGGAGACCCCAAACCCACTCTTTTCCAAGCTGCTTTGACATTATGCCTGTTGATCATATCTTGGAAAAAAAGGATAGTGTGTTTCTGAAAGGCATCTATATCATATTCCGCCAAATCCTGAGCTATGCTGATTCAGACAAGTTTTGTTTGATGTCTGAACAAAGGCCAAATTTATTTATGTATTTATTTATTTATAAACAAATGCCAGATTCTTCCAAAACATGAATGAATCCAGAACTCTCCTGAAATTGTTTTGGAGATTTATAAGGACACAGCTATTATGCCTGCAAAAATTCCAGTTTCTCCCCAACCTCCCTGTACAAGGAAAATGTTAACATGGATAGGTAGATGTATAATTTTGTGACTGAGAGCTATGTTTCCTACTCAAAATGGATGATTTTACCAGCTTCTCCAAGCATAGTGTTTTAAGAATGAAAAGTTCTAGGGTTTATTGAGTTTTCTGGTTCTCTTGCCCAGTATAAGCAGATAGAAAAAGGATTTGTAGAGTCTATAGAGTCTGAAAGGGTATAATACTGAGTGGCTGTTTGGAAAAAACAATCTTCAGGTCTTACTATCTTTGTCACTGTATCCTCTTCCATATCCATCAACCATCCCTATTACATTGTACTTGTAATAGCACTTTACTTTATTCTACTTCCGGGGAGCAGAACCCAAAAAGCCATAAACTCATCATAACTCTCTAATCTCTGCTCTTAATACTCTGAAATTATCTACTTGTCTAGAAATATGTGTCATTTTCATACAAATTGTCAAAAAAATAAATTGCACAATGGTAGGAAGGAGACACAAATTATTTTCTCATGACCTTCCAATTCTTATTTTTTTCCCTGTCATCAGCCATTGGAAAAAAGACCTGTCTTTAAGACTTGTACTTCAAGACATTAAAGTAAGATAAAAGAAATTATTCATTTAACTCATGAGGAGGGGAGAAGTTGTGTTTTTATTTGTTCTGCAATAACAAGATGGAGAAATAAGATCAATAAATAATTTAATACTGTGAAGGCACGGGTAGGGAACAGATAATCACCTGTCAAAGATAAACCTAACATGTCAGAGGCAACATCAATAGTTGAGGCCCGCTGCACAACACGGGATTTTGAACTATGTCGGGGGCTGAGATCTTTTGCTGACATGTTGTCATGGGGAAGCCACGTCTTTATACTGTTTGAAGCATCAAAATACAGCAGACGATTGGTCTTCTTGCAGCCCTTATGATGTTAGCATGCTAAGATAAAAATAAGAAAACACCAATTTCACCCAATGACTATTTTAATACTCATTTTACCAGTCAATACATTAAATAATTAATGACAGCATTAAAACTTTGCTGGTGATGATAGCAGTACACCATTAGCTTTAGTAGACATTAACTTTTTAAGTCAATAGAGAAAGCAAATGTGACAAGTAAAACATTAATCTTAAAGTAGCTATATCACAAACATACTTTAGTCATACATTGAGCCAAAGATCTCCGTGACAAGAATCCTAAATCATTTAAAATCTCTTTCTGCAACCATGGTAAGACTAACCACGGTCTGTTTGAATTTAGGTGATATGAGAAACTGAGACTAATCCAAAATGAAAGTAGTCCCAGGAGGGGAAATGGGAAACACACAAGACAAGGTTGATCAAAGCTTGCTTTCCTAATTATAAGCTTCATTTATTTGGTGTCAGAACTAAGCTGATTCAAAACTGTAATGTCCCCGTGACTTTGCTTTTACTCTACGAGCCTATGAGAGCGGGAAGAATGATGCCTACAGTAAGTCTTCAAAACAAAATGTTAAAGCCAATAAACACAGCCCTCCACAAAAAATTAAGTTCTGAATATTAAGGCCTATCAAGATGTTTTAATCATCTGGTTTGATTATGATTCATAAAGAAAATTTTCCAGAGTTTCAGAAGATGCTGTTCCTTATAGTATATGTGACTTTGTACACCAGACTCCTTCATACTTACAGGAGAGCTATTATCCTCTTTGATGAGAGCATGGTATTGCATTTGTAAAAGGCCAATTTATTTTCCCATCTGAAAATAAAAAAGCTCATATTCAGTTATTTGATAAAGCATGTCAAGTTGATACTGATTTTAAAATCCACACTTCTCTTTAACTTTCTTTAACCACCTTTAGCCTCTTCTACTTGCACGTTAACTATTGCAGACATTTCAGTTTCAGATGGATGCCATAGTCTTGTGCTTAGAATTTACCAACTTTATCTCAAATACATTTTAGGAAAGGTAACTAAGTAACTATGCAAGTCAGAAATCAAGTCCTAACAGTTCTGAATTAGTTTAGAGAAAAATAAAATATTAATTTTACAAAAACAATCTGCATAATTTCAGTTATACATTTTTTTAGGCTTTTGTCAGCTGTAGCCCAAAATGTAAAAGTTCTAACATGAAGAAAGAAAATTCTGAAAAACTTTTTAAATTTCCAGATTCCAATTTTACCAATTTTATGGATCTTCAACATAAATGAGAATGGTGAAGGAATATGTTGATGTAAATTAAATTCTTCATACAGGCATGCATTTCCACATGATCACAATTACGTGACAACCTGGGTTTAGGAAACCCAATTCTGTTGTGGAAAACTGGTTAACAGGAGGTTTCCCAGCCCATTTCAAAGTTTGGTTATTATCTACAAGCCTTATATGATGTTGCACTGGGATATATTAGGGACTGCCATGATCCTGTCCATCTTGTCGAGGGAATGAAAGGGGACGAAAAGGCTGAAAGGCAGACCTTCCCTGCAATGGCCCCCTCGTTATGGAACACACTGCCTCTGGAGGAGGTCTGGACCTAACCCTCTTGGCATTTTATAAGGCACTAAAAACATTTTTGCTTCAGCTCCTTTGCTCCTTAGGGAGGAATTGTGGGCATCGTTTTAATTTATGTGGTGGATTATGATTTAGTTGCAATGGTTTGTGATGTTATTTATACAGTCATTTAAATTGGGACGGTATATAAATACTGTTAAATAAACCAACCAACCATGTATATTCACAGAATACAATGCTTTCCTTTTCAAAAACAACATTTATTCATTGACAGCAATGCAAACATAAACTCTCTTTCAAATCCATCTTGACTCCTATTGGCGTCATGGACTCATCCATGCATTTTTCTTGGAAGCAACGAGAATTACTTGCTACTGCCTTATTGTTTTGACTTTCCAGTGTAGTCTACAGTCCTGGGACTTCCTAATGGTCTTTCTTCTATCTCCACTTACCCAGGTCCGACCCTATTTATCTTCTCAAGATTAGCCAAGAGGCAAAACAGTACACCTATAACAACTGATACGAAATATTCATTATGGGCACAAATAGAGCTTTAAAACAGTGACATCTCTGTGCCACAGGGTCTTCCTTCACTGCCAATTTATGCTATCCACCCATCCTCAAGTCAGAGGAAAAGTATACAGTCGTGATATTTGCTGTCCCTATTGCTGATCTCAAATCTGCCTTCATTGTCTCTGTTTAATCACCTAACTTCCTTTTTGGGTGACAAAGCATAACAGTTTTTTACATGCCTTGGGCTGCTCTTTGAATGTATAAAGAAACTGCTGCTAGAACACATTTTGCACTATGGTGATATGCAAATAAAATAAATCATGCCTTGGGTTGGCTTAATACTTCCTGAAAAGCTTGTAGCATTTGGGAATTAATGGGGCAGAAATTAGTGTCCCGACCAGAGGTTTTCAACCGCCGTGCCACAGCACATTTGTATGCTGCAAAAGGTCCACAGGTGTGCCGCATCAGCAAGCCAAAGCAAATGTCAGGAAGTGCTGCGCACCTGCACAGCCAGAACCCCACCTCCGCGACATCACCGGGGCAGACTGCCTCCATTTCTTCTCCTGAGTCTCGGCAACCTGTGACGTAACAGGACTTCTGGTTTTGCAACCCAGAAGTCCCACCTATGAGATGTGTGCTGTGACACTGAAAACCACTGGCCTAGAGTTACATTTCAGTGCCACATTAATGTATGGTTAGGAAATTAGACATGTCAACAAGCAAGAAAAGGCAAAACAGAATAATGCTTCATTAGTTAACTTACTGGCTCCAAGAGTTTGTACTGGTCAATAGTTACTGGACAAGATCCACTTAAAAGTGCTATTGTTCTCATTGAGAAGATTAATTGGGCTGGATCCACGGCACAGGTTGGAAAAATAGTGTCCAGGTTCCCCACCCCTCCACGCCTGTTACAATGAAATTACTACAGTCTCATAAGAATTCATGGAATTTTAACATATGCAAGATCTCACAAGAGTTTGAAATTTGTTGTTGCTGTTCTAATAAGAGCTGGTGTAGTGCGACATTAATCAAGCAATTAATGAATTAGCACCAGGAAGACCCAATTTCTAGTGTAACCTCAGCCATGGAAACTTATTAGGTGACTTTGGGCAGATATTCTCACCCAACCCAACCTACCTCACAGCAGTGTTGTACAGAAAAATAGGATGAAACACTATGTACAGTACCTTAACCTCCTGTATGAAAGGCAGGAGATACAGCTAACAAACAAATAATTCCAACCTAAGTTGGCATGGGAGGAGATACATACTCTCCCATCTACAATATTTGGAACCAAAGCATTCTTGAAAGCTTTAGCCTAACATCTGGATATTGACAGGGTAACCAGTTTCAAGGCTTCTGGGAGGTAGCCCATCTAGTTAATTCCTTTTAATCCAAAATAGTGATTTGGGGTGAAATGGATTCATGCTAATATTGGATATTTTGGCTGAACAAGAAAAAAAAATAGGGCAAAATAAGAGTGGTGAGAAGCTGATAAGCTATCTGCAACCTCTTCTGAGTGAAGTGCTTTAAGATGAACCACTTATGCTTCCCTTCCCTTCCCCCCCCCCTTCCTTGCCCCACACAGGACTTCTCTTCTAGCATCCTATTGCAGACTGGTATACCATTGGAAACTGCTGCTCTCTAAATATTAGTAATATAATTTATGCTGCCCAAAGAAAATATTTTGCTTGACCACTAGATATCCAAAGGTTGATCCTATTCTTGCCAGATGGCTATAGGGTTTTAAATAATGTATGTGTATGTATGCATGTGTGTATGTATGTATATATGTGCAGGTAATGTATGCATGCAACATGTGTACACACACACACACACACAATCTTTCCTTAATGAGGTTCATTCTTTTGTATAACATTCAAACCACATACTTCTTTTGAACATTATAACAGGAAACTGAAGTACTTCCAGAAGTTGTTACCATAAACCAACTCAATTAAAACCTGAGTGGAAATCAGAGAATCCTGCCAGCAGAAAGGCTTAATAGGAAACATGGGAAAAGAAATCGTTTTAATAATATTACTATCACCTCTCAAGCACAGGAGAAGGGGTAGCATAACTATAGCCAGAAGTAAGATATTGACCGGATGTTTACTTTAATCCTGATCCAGTTTGTATGCACAGTATATACGTATGTATGTTTGCACGTGTGTATTAGTAATTTCTACCCAGTTTCAGATGCTAATGTTCTCTCTGGGAATCCATCTTTATAGAACAGATTCTTAAATTCAGTTAGTTTCAGCTATAAATAGAATGCTTAGGAAAATCAGTATTGCCTGACTGATTATGTTTTTCTTATTCATTCCTCTAGGCTTCAACACACACTATCTGGGCTATGGCATTTCAAATAAGCTATTGAGATATTTTTAGATTTTGGGAGAGATCCTAGTAAAAAGATACTGTGATCTGAAATCCTTTAGCAGAAATAGAAATAGTCTGGTTTTGTTCATACAAGGACAATAAACTTCAGAATTCTGAGGATCCTGGTTTATCATTCATCTTTCACAAGCCATAAGTCATATAGACAGCCCTTTTGATCCCTTTTTATTTTACTTGCTGTGAGAATGGCTAATCAAAAGTGTAATATGTTTTCTGTCCTAGTACTTATAGTCTGCTTTTCTTAGTTTAAGATGCCTGACTTGTAAGGAACATAGCAAGCCAGAAGTCCAGCTTCAGATGACAGATTAAACATTGCTGGGGTCAGTTCCATCCAAAGGGATTTGTAAGGGCTCTTCCACATGATTGTACACAGCTTGTGAATATTACAGAAGAATTCTGGCTTATCATTCTTTGCAGAGACAGCTACTCTTTCTCTATGACACATGATCCTATGGACTGCTTTCCAAACTGGAAGATACAAGTTTGTAAATTGTGGGTGAACCAAGTTACAGAGCAGACGTAAACCATGATGTACTGTGATGTGTGAATCTAGCCTATCATTCAAAGGAATGGAATCCTGTAGAAGGCATTCAGATTAAACTTGTGAAGAATGTTTTCTAGGGTAACAATTCAGACTTAGCTAAAGAAAAAACCTTGGCTGCAGACTTTAAGAGGTTGGAGAGCCACCTCCCAAGGATGATTTAACTGGGTTTCCTGGGCAAAGTAGGGGGTTGGATGTGATCCTCGTGGCCCCTTCCAACCCTACAATTTGGTGATACTATGTTGTGCTGGCAGGGCCCAGAAGGAGTCTTTTCTGCTGTGGCACCCGCCCTTTGGAACTTCATTCCCCCTGAGATTAGGTTGGCCCTGTCCCTGTTGGACTTTCATATGGCCTTGAAAACTTGGTTCTGTGTCCGAGCCTGGGGTCCCAAGCATGGGGTAGAGCCCATCTCCTGGCTGTGTGACTGATTCGCTAGACAGTGCCCGGCTGCTATGTTTTAATTTTATTTTACATTGTGTATTTTATGTATTTTACTATAAGCTGCCTAGAGTCATGTAAAAGTGAGATGAGTGGCTATATAAATCGAATGAATGAATAAATAACAAGCAATTTAAAATTCCTATTTCAAACATCAGCCACATATATCTTCTGAACAATGGAAAGGAAGGAGGGATGATTCCCCACTGCTAGAAAAATGTTTTTACTAGAGCCCAATGCATTTCAAAAAATTGTTCCTTCATTAAAAAGCACAAATGCACATTACAGGATATCCTGCTTTATATACTCTTATACTATAGGACACTATCAGCCCTCAATTTCCTTTAATTTCTTTTAATTTTTAAATATGAGTATAAGATAGATAATACATAATGTGTTTTGCACATGTGCTGCATATTTACTGGTGGATTATTAATTTGTTTTTAGATCTCCCTTGACAAAGGAACATTCTTTCAAAATATTTTTAACTAGCACTTTGGAACCCCTCCCTCCTTTTTTTCCAATTTTAGGGCCAATCCCTCCTTTTTTTCCTGTGGCACCTTCTGAGCAATGCCAATGACTTTTGAAGCGAGCAACATGCTCCTTATTTCCCAAGCCTATGTTATTTTGGGAACTTTTTAAATATTTGTCTTTTTTTTCTCCTGATCCCTACCATATACCATATATAGGAGTGCTACTGGAGCTTTGCTTAAAATATTTAAAAGCCCTTGTCAAACAGCAATTAATTTTTTTTCCTGTACTACTTTCTCCCTTATTTAAAATCTCATTCAGGCGGTGTGTTTCTATTCTATTGTACACATCCATTTTTAGAGGAAGGACAGCAAGGTTTTTGTAACACACATGTTACTGACTAGCAAAACTATCTCTCATATCCATGAACTGCTCAAATTAGCAAGTTTCAAACCCACACAGAAAATATTCAGTGTGTCCCACCCCAAAACTAAACAGTACGCTCAGATGGGGTAGTGTAAACATATTTCTCCCCTCACCCCCCGTTGTATGATCTGTCAGCTTGTGAAGAGACTCTGCTTAGACTGTGGCTAGACAATGTCTTCATACAGCCTTTTAATGCAAGGGTGGTTAATATGAATCCCCTACAGTAGAAAGAAACCTTTTCTTCAGAAACACAACTCTCTTCTTTGGAATTATTTTGATTTCGTGGTTATTTTTCTAGCAAGCTAAGATGCCTGCCTGGCACGCTAGTATTTACCCTAATAATTGGCCCCAAGAGGAATGTTTAGAAAGTAGCATGCATAGCAAGAGGAGTGGTTTCCTTCAGCAAGGACAGAAAAACTGCCCTGTTTTATTTGACTCCTTTTGATCAGCTTTCCCCAACTTGTTAAATCCGCCAAGCAACCATTCCCATTATTTCCACCAGCATCACTATGAGGTGTCTTGGTGGCAAGGATTTAGAATAATTTTATACTAAATTTATCAAGATAATCCAACTTATCCTAAGACCCACAGGTTATAGAAGGTTAATTCTAATCTTTTGAAATTTCTGACCCCCCACTAGGACCATGATAATGGTTACTTTGAATGCCTTTAATTATTCTGGTAACATTGTGCAGTAGACACTGAAGGTTGGAGGTTCAGTCAAGTTACAGTCTTTTCTTCGGGCTACTATAAAACAGACAAGAGTTTATAAAATAAAACATAAATTTATTCAACTTCTATAAGGTAGCATTGTTTCTTCAGTTACAGCAAAAGTTGAGTCTCCTTGAAGTCACATCTGACTCCTCTGGACTTCATGGACACCCCCATGCATTTGTCTTGGCAGTAATGCAAAAGTGGCTTGCCGCTGCCTTCCAGCATGCTTTTTTTGACTTTCCAGTTTAGCCCATAGCCCTGGTCTTCTGGGATATCTCCCATTCAAGGACTGAGGCCCAGTCCTGCTCAGCAGCCAAATCCAGACAAGGTAAGTCAGCCTAACTAAGCTGGCCTTAGAATTAAACCTGAACCAAAGGGGAGGCAAGACTGGACAATATGGTACTGTATAGACTGGGTTTAATTCAGTATGTTAAATACTGAATCATAATGTTGAAATTAAGGAAAGTTATATAATTTTAATAGACCGATATAACTTTTTTCTCTAAATGCCATTTTCTATATAAAGAATTAGAATTAAAATATAATTTAGGTGTGGGTTTTTCCTTCTTTTTAGTTTAGTTTGGTTTAGTTTTGTGTTTTGTTTTGCTTTTTTTTTTCCAGGGGAGATGTCATTTTTCCTTTCCTCTTTTCTCCTAGGTGATTTAATATATGATTGTTTTCCTCTTTTTTTCTCATCATATAGATCTTTTCATATAATAGGTTAGGCTTCTTTTTTCAAAGTCTTTTATACAATAGTAGTATAGTTATATAGTTATATTGCTATTTGATTTACACAAAGTATTATAAACTAATAACTAACATTTTTAAAAGAAATATTAATTGTAATGTTTTTAAAGTTAAATAAAATTATACTTTAAAAAAAGTACTGGTCAGATGTTAGTCCCTGTTGGGACTAACTCTTAAACTATAACCTGTGATGGAATGGACTTATGAAGGCCAGGCTCAGGGAGAAAAGCATGTTCTTAGCCCCCAACAGGAGCGTC